GGATTATCGACTAGAAATTGTATCAGTTGCACAAAGACGGACAAGTTCACTTAATTGGACAAGAGTTCAAATCTAACTTCCAGAAGGGTACAGCTGTTTACTGAAGTATTAAACAAAGCGATGACTCACTAACAAACAAATTTGGAACTTCACAATTTTTCTGAATCTTTGCATATGTAACAGTTTTTCCACGAATGAAACACTTAATGACACAGCCAACTTCAATTGTTCAATTGCAGCTTCCGTTCCTTGCAGTGAGACTTTACCTATGGTAACACCATCTGTGTAGTCAGCAAACTACAACAATGGGTAACAATCAGTGACGAAAAGCTTACAGTGATTTACCATAACCCATGATCTGTGATTACTATGATGTACAAAAACTTGTCAATAAACGGAAATTGTACCTTAACTGAATCACTATGGGTAAAACTCTAGGAATGTATCAATTCAGCAGCTCTTTATATTTTAATTCCCATATGGTCCCTTTGAGAGAAATTAAGAACAAAAATCGAACTTGTACGAGTTCTTGGTGACCACAATTGCCTATAGAGAAGATTTCCTCGCAAATTTTGACACTGTCGGTACTGCCACACGTGTGTTATCACTTTGCGGAAGGCAGCATAACCGATATTGCCAGTGGCACAATTTCTTTCGCCAACAAAATTTTTTCTTTGTTTCGAGATATACCTTGGGCTCTGTAACCACTCTGATTAAATAAAATTCTCTCTTACAAGTCTGTGTAGTTTTTGTGCACATATAAATCCTATCTGCGAAGAAAACTCCGAATGTGAAGTAATTTTATTTTCGCTCTTTCACTGCGCTACGAAAGTGTCCAGTGGGACCTTTTCGTTGATAAAGCCTGTAGTTTCAAGTGGCGCAGGAAAGTTTTCCTCTATGGTGCATTTTACTGAGCTTCTGTGAATGTTTATTTTGCCTTCTCAAATAAAATTTACTTAACATGGAGCTTTTGCAGTTGATATATCATAGGTTTTATGTTTCTATCGAGAATGTTAACTTCTGCGACTTTTACCTTCTCTTTCGAGGTGTAATACCCTCACATCGTGTAGCCAACACACATTTTCTCAACTGCCACTGCGAAGTAGCGAATCCCGGAAACTTTCGCACAGTAGCCTTGCATCAAATTGTAACAAAAGGCCTGCTCAGAATTACTTAACAACTCAAGCAAAACTCCACTAAAAATATGCACGAATTCTTGACGAGTCGCACTGATTTGAATGCTCAAGAATCAAAGTTGATCAGTGACCAAAATGTTATCAGTTGCCGAGAAAACAGAATGACCTTGCATGCATTGGGTGGAGCAAATGATTGAATGTATTTTGATATTTATAGGAATAAGAAGTATAAAGAATTAGAAGAGCAGAGAACTGTTCAGTTATCGGAACTCATTTGTCATCATTTGGGGCAAAATCTTTTCTGTTTTCAGACTTTTAGTACTCATCTCATAGCAGCGATCTCTGCTTTTTCAATACTGCAGCTTTCTGAGACTCTTTCGGAGTGGTGCAGCAGCGAAAGTAGAGAAGTTCACGCTTAGCGCGCATTACCCGCGCGTATTTTGTTAGCTTCAGAAAATTTCTCTTCGTTTCACAACAATTTCTAGGATTTTAGTATTAGAATTGCAGAAGAAGAAGCTTGTTTTATATAAGGCCTTAGGTTTTCGCCTTCATTTGACGCTGTTAGATAAATCCTCTACTAGCGCAAACCTGAGCATCTTCTCCTCGCCCTTTTATGACTCACTAAAATACGTCATGAAACGCTCGAATGAGGCAATTGGGGACTTCAGCGCATCTGAGCGTACCACCTAACGAGTCTTGCATCTCACATTCCGATGATTGGCAACTACGTCATGCATGAAAATGTACACAACAATTCGAATTTCGTCGCTAAGTCTTTCTTCAGAACCATAGAGAAGAGCTACTTTAAGCACTAGGACACCGCATTTTCAAAGAGTGGAAAATTTTGTAACATCAGCAGTGCTTCTCTTGTAATAACAATTTCAGAGGATGATTGACATTGGCAATATGACATAAGTGGAGAAAAAGTGAGAGGCGATGGGAGGAAAAAGACCAGTGACTAAAGGTAAACAGTGAATGCTCAAGTCTCTCGATTTTCTCTGGAATGCAGTTGGCACGGAACTTTTTTAACATCTCTTCTATCCCATAATTTAGAAAAGCGAAAAATAAGTGGTCTATCGACCGAAGTCATGGAACGATAAAACTCTCTTGTGCATTTGTTCTCAATTGCAGAACATAAACGATTGGCTAGTGAGTTTCTCAAGTCTTCTGACCTTATGGCAGCGCTTCCAGCTCACGGTCGTACATGTTGTTGAATGGCGTAGATATTGTGCTTGCTTATTAGTCAGTGATATTTCGTCTTTCCATTTGTTTTTTACACAGTGATTATTCCGCTGCCAAAGTAAAAATCAAAGTAAACTTTGACTACCATAAACAAGAAAGGAATAAGAAAAATATTTTCACAAAATAATTACCTGAAAAAAGTGAAAATTGAAAAGAAAGCTAATAGTTTATAGGTCAAAATGACAAATAACTCACATAAATCAAAAAATAAAACGAATCAAAGTAATAAAAGTGAAAAGAAAGCAAATAATATCCAGGTAAAAATAATAAATAATTCTGAAACACCACAAAGCTCTAAGGATTTCTGTTAAAAGCATATAACGTTCCTTTTGTGGGTTCAGGGTTCCTATTTCCATTTTATAATGCCAAATAGACCCACTAATAAAACTATGTCTAAGCATAAATCTATGCCTAAGCATAAACAACCTAGGCCTATACATGAAAAACATTTGAGTATCTAAAGGATATTTCAAAGTATCAGAGTCATACGTTTTATTCCGAATTTTTCTAAATCAAAAAGAAAATCTTAGATTTAGTAACAAAAATTGTATAACACATGTGAATCGCGCCGCACAGTGAATGCGCTCTGAGTGCAAAAACCAATCTTGAGGTGGCCGCTGCAGCGCATTGAAAAGTTCATTTTCAGAACTTAGAACCCTATTGAGATTTTTTAAGTTTAAGTCATTGAATAATTACTAAAGATCTATGAGGAAATTGTCCAGCAAAAAGTGCTCAAGTGTGAACATAATTTTATTTTCACTGCAGACTAAAAGTTGTTATTTTTACTAACGAAACGCCGCATTACATTTCTCGAAATTTGAGCTATCGAATGACTAGTAAAAGTTTAGTAAGCAAGAAACGGTTTTTTCCTTTCAGTAAACAAAATGGAGGTTACTCATTTGGGCTTGACGTAGAGTAATTCTCTTTAGAGGGCGGTCCAATTCTCCTTTCCACTTTAATGTTGGTGCTCTTTGCTCGTAAAGCATTGAAGACGTATTTCTAGTGCCAGGTGAAGTGACTTTTTTCCCTTCCACGCCCATGCAAACATTCGTCGCTGTTTGATGTATGTTCTCGACAAGTGCATTTTTCTTGTGCAAAAAATGCAGGGAAATATCGCACTAGTATGCTATAATTACTTCGTTTACCATAGCAATTCGTACTGTTGCCACTTCCAGAGAGATGTTCTGAAGGTTCAGGATTGGAAGCCAGTTTTCTATAGGTTTTTCTTGTAAATTATACTCTGACTGATCAATGAACAGTTCGGAGAACATTTGTCCATCTACTTTTCTGCAAATGATAAAGAATCGTTTGTGTATTGACAGTAAAGTGATAGACAATTGATAGCCAAATTACACCCAGCATTCCTCATAGAAGAACGATTGTTGTCTATCTTTCTTCCAGTCGAAAATACTTCAAATCGTATCTACCTTACCATATGTATTTTTCTACTTCACTCGGAAGCTTTCCTTATAATTTCGACTTTAAAAAGTGTGTCTGCTTTAATGCGCTCTAGATATCAAAACACTGACGTAGTCACATAAAACGTGTGTTTTGCGTTTTCATTCTAGGTCGTTCCATACCTAATAGCCTCAGAATTCTGCTCATAAAAAAGTGAGTACAAGCGGCCGAACAATTCCACCTGTATACCTCTTCATTCTACCGCATTTCGAGACCCTGCTTAAAAATATTGATAATCTGATATTATGATAACATGTTTGTTTCGAATATTTTCCTAAGACCACGCTCAAATTTCAACATATCTGACAATTATTACTTGAGCCAACATGTCGCGTGATCCGTCATGGGCACCTAACAGCCCGACATGCGTGTCTCGGCCACGGCAGCCCTCGTCAGCCGAAGCAAGACCCTCGTCCCCAACGAATCCCTCGGGGTGCTCCATTCTCCTTACTTAAAGTAGGCGAAGATGAACGACCCACACGCCCTTCAAGTAATAATTTGATTAACGGGGCTGTTGAGGCGAGACATATGTGTCGGGCGGTGCAGATGCTCGTGACGAGTCACGTGATATGTTGGCTCAAGTAATAATTCTAGATTATGACAACATGTTTTGAGCCTTTTATTAGTTTTGGTATGGCACTTATACAGTACTAGACAGGCCTGTTTCGCCTTCCACGCCCATCAGTAGTATGGTGCCCTTCGTTTCAGCCCATCCTAGGGGCTACCTTTATCAGTAGAGAGCATAGCCCCGGGAAATTTTAATAAGTAGCATAGTTCTACGAGGAGTCGCCTGAACTGAAAGGCTGCACAGTTTTATCTACTCTTCCTAAAAGCAGAGGTACCAGTCAAAGACGTAGGCGTGAGTGACCTTTGAGGCGTCTTGGCTGAATTCTAAGATTTCAAGAATATCTCAGATTGATGTTCAAGTGTGGGTGAGGTGTTTAGTTTATAGTGTGTGACAATGACACCGGTGACGTTTCCCACATGAGTAGCTGAATCGTTGTTTTATTCGATGGGTCGATATCTATATTGATTTTCGTACAACAAGACTAGATCTAGGAAATATTATTGAATAAACAATCGCAATTCATTTATTTGACCGCTTCTTACGGTGGTATGATCTTGTATTACATCCAATAATGTGGAGTGCTGTGCAAGAACATTTGAGTCAGCCGGGATTCGAACCCAGATCTCACTCTTTCCAAGAGCGTGTGTTGGACCGTTGCACCACTGACACTGGTCACTGAGTGTGCAACGTTCAACACATGCTCCCGGAAAGAGTGAGGTCTGGGTTCGAATCCGGCTGACGCAAATGTTTTTGCACAGCACTCCATATCATTGGGTACATTGATTGAATAATTAGGTCTAATATGATACAAGACGTCTCGGCTATCAGGAAGTGGAATTCGCCAAAACGGTGGTCATGGTTTGTGCAAAGAAAGATATGGTATTTTCGCTCAACTTTAAACAAAGGTCGTTCATAAGATAATATTTAGTGTCACATTCCTTTTCACTGCCTTATGTTTCAGGTTCATAGGACTTTACTTCGCCAAAGGCTAAAGATTGCATATTTGAACATTGCAAAGATGGTGAACTGTTGATGTAGAAGTGTAAAGTAGAAGTTCTTCAGATTGTCAAGTACATGTAATTCAGTACGAAGTCCATAACGGGCATGAAATGTTTTAGAGGAAAATTAGTTGGGAACAAAGTACATTCTGTGCAAATAAAATAATGTTTTCTTCTAGAGCAGCGTCGAGATGGTTATTTTAAGATTCAATCTATAGTGACTAACGTTACGTATGTCTCACCTTTTTTGGAGCGTGAGAAGTTGGAACTGATATGCAACTCTTTCAGCCAAGTACTTCATTACCCCGAAACAAGCAACTTAACCCTTCGGGTTAGACATGGCCACGCCGCCGACTCTGCCTCACCGTCCGCGGCATCACTAACCACTCGGCACTACGGAGTGCTCCGTGCCCTCGGTGAGTTGGAGCTGGCGGCTTGTCCTTGTCGTATCTAAAGAGTTAAAGCCAAAATTTCATTCAGTGGAAGGCAGATCGTTCCGATACTTATAGGTCTTCTAGTTATTGATGGAGAGTCTCACAAAGTCACACACTGATAAGAGACCTGCCTGGTTACATCAAAAGATTGGCATGAAGTACGGAACGGCGTCATATATGACCACTGAGCTTATCTATGACTTTTTTTAGGAATTCTGGAATATTCTTAAAACCATCTTGAAAATTTTCATCACTAATGATTGAAATTTTTGCACGTTGATAGTTACCCTATCGTAAAACCATCTACTTCATGTCTCTCTTGCCAAAAAAGTCAAATCCAAATTGTTTCTCATGAATTGACAGCATTGTGGGACCACATTCTCTACTTACGTTTTCTACTAACGGAAGTCTTCGAAATTTTCTTTTTTAATGTAATAGAAAGTCATAAAAGAATTTCGAACGAGCAATTTGTGATTCAGAGACTCAGACTCTCTCAGAAAGCTACCGGAGTAAAAATATGGATCCAGTGAAGAACTACTGCAGGCAGGTAGAACTTATCGTAATAGTGAAACATTCAGTACAGTTTGCGTAACAGTTTCATTAAAACTGTAATTTGATAAACAAAAAAAAGTTATATTTCAGCAGCAATATTTGTTCAGTAAGTGTTGAGATGAGAAGTGGAACACTCAGCGACCAAATAATCTTTAATTCAATTTATTAGCTATTTTTGTTTCAACGGCAGGTACGGTCTCGAATATAATGATAAGAGTGTGGAGATCCGAGTAATACTCGAGACTTATGGTGATAAATCTTACTAGTGACTACTCTTTCTAAGAGCTTACGTGTTATCCACTGCGCCATTGAGGTCTACGTTTTGTCTTAATCTCAACCGTGCTTCAGTCCATCCGGTGATGGTCACCAATCTAAACAAAATAAGCTGTGAGTAGAAATGGAAAGTGCGGTCTCAATCACATCTCCATCTTGGAGTTTATGCAGACTTGCGCCTCCTAAATCAATCCCGTTGGCAGATGATTTTGGGCAATAGGTAGTTGAGGGCTTGAAGCATTCTCAAGTTCTATGAAAATCTCATTAGCTCAAAGAATGCGATAATCGTGCAACCCTTTTCAGTTCACTGTACGACAGCACCCACTGCAAAGAGAGCTCCGAGATTATACCATTAGATACGCTCCAGGAGCTTTCATGATGGCATCACCAGAGGTAATTCCAACTTGTTTATTTTGTGGCAATGCCAGATATCTGTCGAATTGTCCTCTTCTTCATTATGACTTGCTCATTAATGATATTTCTTTCTTGACAATCAATGTCCAACGTTCTGCAAAGATTTTTTCTTCATTGTGTCACAAAACATACGTATCTTCTCCCTGATAAGTGTTAAGAAGGCCTTTAAGAAAGCGGGGTAGGGAAAATGTTAGCCAACGATTTTTGAGTGGGGAGTACCAATTTTGTGGAAGTTTGGGTTGAAGAAAAAGACAGTTCAAAATATGTTTTGCATTTTCAATAAAAATGTCAAGGTTAAAGAGGGTCGGAGTTGTGAATTTCTGACTCATTATTCATACTCTATTTGTGTGGGCTTTTTCAAGATATACCAGCACATAACAAGCAAAATAAGGTTTTGGAACTATGCAGGTGCTGACTATTGGATCAATTTTCATTCACATGATCAGAGGTAAAAAGGTGCTCGATATTGGAACTTTCACTGGTGCTTCAGCACTAGCATGGGCATTAGCCGTTGGTCAAGGAGGACAGGTGAATTATTATACTGTTTATCCATTGGCTTGAGTTTTCTATTGGTTTATAACTTCCATTTGAGGTCTACACCATGGATATATCCCAAAGAGGTTTCAGGGACTATGGAGTACCGGTTATTGCTAAGCAGGAAGAAATCCTCAAGAGGATTATACCGATCGAGAGCCCAGCTCTCAATACATTAGGTGTTTTTATCACAATACTTCTAAGGCAGTTTCTACAACAAATGGTTTTTCAGACAGAATGATAGCTAACGGAGAGAGTGGAACGTTTGATTTTGCTTTCATCGATGCCGATAAGGTTAGACATACACATTCACCAGCGTACAATTCCATTGAATACATGCTCCGAGTATTTTCATTTTCAGGTGAACTATCCAGCGTACTACGAACGAGCGGTCAATTTATTGAGGAGAGGTGGTGTCGTGATGGTTGACAACGTAGGTATAAGTTAACGCAATACCTTGAAATGTGATCACTATGCTGTCATATAGCTTGTCATGATTTAAGGCACTGTGGGGTGGAAGAGTAGCCCAGCATCCGTACACTTTTGATCAATCAACCAGAGCAATAGATGGAACAAACAGAAGGGTAGGCGTAGTTCTATATGCATGCTATATTTTATAACTTGCTAGAGCCCAGTTTTTTCTTAAGGTATCACATTCAAATAAACAATTGGATCAATTTTTGTTCAGATTTTCCTAGATGACCGGACGTACTCCGCACTTTTGAATGCTGGAGATGGCATCCACATTGCCGTCAAGATCTGATTTAAGAGAACACACTTCTTCAAAATATCATATGTGACTTTGTAATGCACAAACAAAGCGTCTATGCGGTTCATCTTTGACAGTTAATGTAGTCATTTTGTAAAGATAAAGAGAAAAAAATGCTCAAACTAATTTTATCACGCGCAAGATATTTCCATATAGCAAGAGTATAGATCAGTGATGAAATTTGGATGGGGAAATTTGCAAACGCAACATAAAAATGCACGCAGTTCAAGCGCAGCAATAAGTCAGTTGGATTTCATAGTGGCAAAAAAAGATTCTTACAATCTGGAGAAACGAATAAGTCGCCTTCAGATCTTGCCTATCACCGCACTTTTGGGAAGATGTACACGTAACCACTTTTTATTTATACGGTTTTGAATAGCTGCTTCTTAGTGTATTTCCTTGCTTCTCTATGTTTAGAAAGAATCCGGCGTTCCATGTTGTATAGCCGCCCAGACTATTTTCACCTGGAAACTGACTGTTCTCGCGAAAATCTACACGCTCCTCGGCTCAAACTGGGCTGAATCACGGCACCACATCCATGTATAGCTCCGATATTGCTGCACTGGATTATTATCTCTTCCGCGCTCTAAAGCAGCAACTGCGGGAGAAGGAACTTGAGGAGTACGACTATCTCAAAAGTGATCTCACCCACTTTTTTGGATATCAGCCTCACTTTTTCTGGAAGAACTGGATTCAGTCTTTGCCCAGCAACTTTTTGCATATTATTGATGATGATGGAGATCATACTGCTGATGAGGTAATTCTTCCAAATAGAAATAAAATTGGGTTCTTTTTGATTATAAGCGAAAAAATGAAATTCGACCTCATCTGCTGGTCAGCAACATTTTATGGGAGTGTCAGTAATCATTCGAAAACTCAAATTTTTGGCTAGAATCCCACATGGCCGTTTCGGAAAAGCCTTTTTCATTGTTACAGAAGGAAATCCTTTGTGTTTCAAGCGCATATTTCTCGTCAAACACAGGTCTTTCTCTGGTCTATAAGTTGTCATTCTATACCATGATGTTTGCTGATTCCAACGGTGCATCTCTATTCCGAAAAGCCCGTTTCTTTGAAGCGCAGCAGGGAAAGTACGAGAGGTTTACATGCGCGAGCTAGGGGGTCCTTGGCCAACTCATGGGGCGCTGAATGAGGCGACAAGGGGGGCTGAGGCAATGATCGATCAATTCTCAAGCATATAGAAGTGAAGAGAAAATTTCGTAGTACGTGAATGCCTTCGAGTTACTGTTGTAAGCAATTAGGACGTTCTGCCCTCCTGAATTCCATCAAAAAGATCATGATGATGGTAGTTTCATCTGTATTCATGGCAAAATGAAAGCATTCAAAGTCTTTTTGTAGCACAGTTATACGTTTTGTTTGGAGCTTTTCTTTGAAATTAGAAAAACAATACCTAGTTCAATAGCAAAGATCGCTCTAGCATAAGACAGCGAAAATCGATTGATACTTGCGCATCCCCATTGCTGCCTTATCCAGCTCCCGTGAATTGGCCAAAGACCACCTTGCTCGCACATGTGGATCTCTAGTTTTTCCTGATGCGTTGCAGGAGAAACGATATTTTCACGGTATAAGCACAACATTGGAATCAGGAAACATTACGCTATCGAATGACTACGGATAGACCAATGAAACAGCTCTAGGCGAGAAAAATGCGCAGTGAAACATAATTTTATTTGGAAC